GAAGTCTAGAAAGTCTTAACATACCTCAAAAGTCAAACACGTGTCAGGAATCTTCAAGATTTCACCTTTCCCTTTTGTAAAGCTTCATAGCATTCACAATCTATCAAAAAAATGCATTATTCGTAAGTAAATGTGTCTGTAAACGCTCATTTTGCTATACTTCCATTTTGAACCCCAAAGATCACTCAAAAGGTAGAATCCAAACCGACAAGAACAACCTAGAATTATAGTGAGACTAAATCACCCATAAATAGCACAAATTTATAATCAAGTTCCTAATCTTGATGTCAGTTAATTTGTCAAGTCTCATATTTTTTAAATTCAAGCTTAGGATTAAGTCTCAATTTCATCAATTAACATAAATCTAGCAATATTTATATACTACAATCTTAAACGCTAACTTCTAATCCCCTTTTCTTTCTTTCTTTCTTTCCCCACAACTCCATAATATAATATAAAAAAATCACGCAGGAATTTATGCTTCCTTACCTCGTTCACTCACGATACCTCTTCGTAATCTTTTGTCCTTACATGTTATGACTCAAAAATAATATCAACCCTATTTAACTTTAACTTATTCTAAAACATGTGTTAAGTGGTGTAGGTCATTAAGTAAATCATAGACTTGACCTATTAACCACCAATTAAAATAATTATTTAAAATTACTCAATAACTAATTAGCCATAATTAAATAAATAACCCAAAATTCCTATTTAAATTTACGGAAAGAATTAAAATAGTTTTAGTGCTCAAAACGACCTAGCGGGTCGTTACAATATTGAATTAATCAAATTCAATTCAACTTCAGAAAATTGAGGAATCTTAATTATAAAGAATTGATCAAAAACTTATATCGTAGATTATGAGATTACTTTGGCCATGTTAAATGTTAATTTTTATATAATGTCAATTTTATGGTTTTATATAAAGTTTAATTACAAGAATTAATTTCAACTATATATTTATTTTTTATTATTTCCTTTTAATAACAATTATATTGTTCCTTGACTGAAATTTGAAATAACTCAAAGCTACGATAAATAATATAGCGTACCAAGGTATAATTGAATTCAATTTTTTTGTCGTACCATTCTTATAGTAAATAAAATAAATTCATTGTTATCTATCTATATATAATAGGAGAAGAAAAAGTGCCACGTGTCAGCACCACAAAAAAAGTTTTTTTAATTAATTTAAATATTCTATTTCAAAATTAATAAAAATTTCAAACACGAAAAAAGAAAATGGAGTGGTTCCAGCAATTAAGGGAATCTTTAACAGTTATTGAAAAAAAATTTTGAAAAACAAATATTTATATCCAGTAGAAAAAAATATCAGATACGTTAGAAATTAATGATGTGTAATTAAAATTAATTTAAATATTTTATTTCAAAAATTCAAACACGAAAAAAGAAAATGGAGTGGTTCCACCAATTAAGGAAATCTTTAACAGTTGTTGAAAATTAAATTTGAAAATAAAATATTTATAGTTGAAAAATAATATCATATAAGTTAGAAATAGAAAAAGGGGACAGTTTAAACGAAAAAATAGGACAGTTTTCTTGGGTGGTTATGAATAACACGCTCCCGTTTCCCTTATATATTTCTTCTTTGAATTTGTTTGAAATGCATGAAGAGCTCCTCGAAAGAAGGTTTTGTATTTTCTGATTATAAAAGCTTGTTTATATTTGTTGAATTATAAGAATGATATGGATATTTGAATTTTTTTGTTGTTGCATATTTTTCAGTTTCCAGTGTTACACATTAGAATGATGAAGCGTAGAGTTAGAAACTATTAAAAACTATCTCAAAAAATAATGTTCAGTATAATTTTTATTTTGGTTATTCTTTTTTCTTTTTGAATCAAATGAATAGCATTGTTTGATTATTTAGTAACCATTTTTTTTGTTGTTGCAGTAATATGTTTGCAAGAGTTTAATAACTATTATTGTGATTAATGTAAATTTTATTAGTTGATTATTACTCTTCCTGTACTAGGTAAAAAAAAAGAGAGGCTAAGCATAGTAATTTAGTTTATTGGAATTTAAATGATCATCACTTTTCTCTTAAATTATTTCATTGTGTTGTTTCTGATCATATCTGCATATGAAAAAAAAATGAAAGAATTCAAGTAATAACTGTTTAAAAAGTACACTAAAAGGTCGCAACAAATCATCCTTTTTGTTTCAACTACGAACTTTTTTAGGCTCCTATAATTCACGTATCCTTAGACTGATTCCTAACAAACTCAAAGTCCTGTAATTGCATTTCTTTTAGAGATAAGATGATTATAACTATCCCTATTAATTTCAACACTAAATTGAAACTATACTTTTTAAAATAAATTATCAAAGCTAAATGACAAGGAATTTATGATTATTAATTGTCAAATTAATTTCTTTGTTACTCACTCTCCTTTTTATAGTATTTCATTTTTATGTAAATATTTTTTTATAAAGAGGAGGAACTATTATTTTCTTTGTTGTTGGAGTGTATAATAAAAATATAAACAAGTGATGACTTGCAAAGTGATATTTTCAGATTTTCATTTCTATCGATTTTATTCTTATCATTTTTAATTTTCATTCAATCATATAAACTCTCTCCACATATATTTAAATTTAAGATAATTAGTGATTTTATTACTTTTAAATTTTGTATTTTATATATAATTATTTATAAATTAGTTTATTTGAATTTGAAAAGTTGTCCTATAAATTAAAATACAATTACAATTGTATTAAAAAAATTGTAATTAGTTGAGAAGTTATAATCAATTTTAAATACTCAATAAGATATGGATTAGGATTAATTCATATTTTTATTTTCTGATTTAAATAAATGCGTTGAGCCCGTTTGAAAATAAATTTTATTAAGTCCGTTTGTAAATCCTTTTTTTAATTTTTTTTAATCATATTTTTAATGCTAAATAAATATCACATTAATGCTAAATATCATATTTTGAAAATTTTAAAATAAAAATTTAAAACAAATTTAAAATTTAAAATAAATAAAAAGTGAAACGGATATTTATCTATATATATTGGAAATTACACCCTATCCATTTTCTCCACGAAATCGACATAGACACGAGGAAGAAATATTTCTTATGGTTAAATTTGACTCGAATTACAAAAAATGCATATTTAATCCTTCAAAATTTTGTCATACTTAATTTCCTACGTGGTTGGGATTCTTATAGGTAAGATTTATCTATTTAAATTAAGATTAAAAAAAATAAAATTTCTAAAATTAGTAGTTATAATTATAATAAAAAATTGTCATGGATGATTTCACTTTTAAACATGTGAGGTTTTTACATTTAAAACTATTTATAACTTTTTTGTTCATTCTTTTCTCTCTCAATAAATACAAAATACAGTTTTTATTTCTTGTTATATTGTGATTTTAACTATACACAAATAATATTTTTGAATAATAGCTATGTCCTCAATTTTGATCAACATGATTATGAAGTTATGTTGAATAAGGATCGTGTTAACTTTTTTTTATTATGATTCATGAATTTAAGGTAAAAAATTATTCTCCCCTTTTTCCCAATTAATTTGTATTTTTGCATATTTCTATATCTAAAAATTGAAAGAAGAAAATGCCCATCATAAATACATTAAATCAAGAGGATCTTCATTGGACTATCCAACCCAACATAAAGATTGAAGCGAGAATAATGTTTTTTGAATCTAATTTAATATTAATTATTATCAATGGAAAAGAGTAAAAATATGAGGCTTTTGAAAATCATGTTCCAAACACATTGAGATCTTTGAAGAACACATGAAATTCTCTCATACATAGGTAACATTTTTTTTTATCAACTTTTTGAATGAGTTGACAACATAATATGTGAATTCTTTTTCATTAATATTTTAGTATTATTATTGTTTATATTGAAGCCGCAAGTTTTAAATGAAGAACTCTTTCGTCTCTAAGAATTAGAGTAAAAAAATATGAGTGATGAATAATTTTAAATTCAACTTAACGCTAAAATGTAAAATATTAAAGATTAAAGATAAAAACTTTAAATTCATCGTTGGAATCAAATTCAATCGTGAATTTTACATAATACAATATTAAGTAGTATTATAAATAACAATATACTAGACTCTTAGATCAATAATATACTAAATTAAATAAGAATAACGGCACATGTTAGTTATTAATTTAAATTTCCTACGTAGAATAAAAAATTAAGTCAAAAGCCTTTATGGATTTTAAATTTTATTAAAATATATGCATAAATAGAGGATAGAATTAAAAAAAAATGCACGATTTATATATATATATATATATATATATATATATATATATATATATATATATATATGATAAAATTAAATTTCAAATAGTCGATATAAATAAATAGAAAACTATTTACAATTCAAAATCCTACAATAGTTTTAGTTTCAAAGAAGTTACACACGTTCTTGAAAATTTCATATCCTATATTTGAAACCATATTTCCATAAAATACGACTAAAAAATAAAATCGCTTTTTTAAAATTTATTTAATTACCTTACTTAGATGTTAAATTATTATATAAAAAAACTTCAACAAAAAAACGTAGTAGATTATAGATATTAGAATAGTATAATAACAAGTAAAATTGTGTACTAAAACATTAAGTTAGTATGATCATATAAATAGTAATAAAGTAGTATTATAACTATTTTTTTTTTTAAAAAAAGTGAAGGATAAAATTTTGAAATTATTTTAATTTAAAAATATCCGCGCAACGCACGGGTACGAATAGTAGTTAATGTAAAAAAAAAGTACATAATATCACGTCCACAAATAATACATGTACTCACCTAACAGAAGAAACTAGAAGAAAAAATTAGCCTATTTCGAATAGTATAGAAATATTTTAAGCCTTTTCCCAATTTTTCTTTACTACAAAAACCTATTTGCCCAAAAAAAAGAATCTATAAAAAGGCATATGCAATAACCTTTTGAAGAACTTATAATTGAACCAAAAATAACCATCCTTCCTCTTCCCAAAAATGGAGTTGTTCAACTTAATTTCCATTTCCCTTTTTGTATTTTTCCTCTTTTTATTAAAGAAATTGAAGAATTCCAATAGCCAAATTAACAAAAGATTGCCTCCTGGTCCATCTAAATTACCATTTGTTGGAAGTATGTTTCATATGGTTGGTGGACTTCCACATCGTGTCCTTAGAGATTTAGCCAAAAAATATGGTCCAATTATGCACCTTCAACTAGGTGAAGTTTCTCTAGTTGTTGTTACTTCTCCTAACATGGCCAAACAAGTGTTAAAAACTCATGACCTCGCTTTTGCATCTAGGCCAAGACTTTTGGCCTCCGAAATTGTCTTGTATAATTGTACAGATATTGCATTTTGCCCATATGGTGATTATTGGAGACAGATGCGCAAAATTTGTGTCTTAGAAGTGCTTAGTGGAAAAAATGTTCGGTCATTCAGTTCAATTAGACAAGATGAAACTCTTCGTCTAGTTGAATTTTTTAGATCATCATCCTCAGGTGAGCCAGTTAATGTAACAAAAAGGATTTCGTTATTCACAAGCTTTATAATATGTCGATCAGCATTTGGGACGATATTCAAGGAGCAAGATGAATTTATACGAGTAATGAAAAGTGTGACATCTTTATTGGAAGGGTTCAATGTGGCTGACATATTCCCATCTTTGAAATTTCTTCATGTGTTAAGTGGAATGAAAGGTAAAATGATGTATCTCCACCATAAGGTAGATACCATTGTTGAGAATGTTATAAATGAGCACAAGAAAAATCTTGTAATTGGGAAGACTAATGGTGAATTAGGAGGTGAAGATTTAATTGATGTACTATTGAGACTTATGGAAGATGGAGACCTTCAATTTCCAATCACCAATGACAACATCAAAGCTATTGTTTATGTAAGTACTTACTATATACTATGCATGCCTAATTACTATTTAACATATACTTGAGGTATGTTTGGTATGAAAGAAATATATTTTGGATTTTAAAAAAAATAAATGAGTTTCTTACTTATTTTTGACGTTTGGTAAATAAATAAAAATAATTTGTATAATGTAGGTAAATATTATCGCGATGAAAATAGAGAGTAGGAGTGTAGGGGTGATGGTGATAGGGGCTATAGTATAGGAGCTTTGTCAAACAATTCAAACGATTAGATAAATAACACGTACATGTGAATGAATTTAACGTAACCTTGTAACTTGCTCTCAAATGTAGGACATGTTTGCAGCAGGAACAGAAACAACATCAACGATAATTGACTGGGCCATGGTGGAAATGATTAAGAGTTCAAGTATACTTTTCAAAGCTCAAGCAGAGGTAAGGGAAGCCTTTAGAGGAAAAGAAACTTTTGATGAAAATAATGTCGAAGAATTGAAATACCTAAAACTAATCATTAAAGAAACTTTAAGACTTCACCCTCCGCTTCCACTTATGCTCCCAAGAGAATGTAGGGAAGAAGTAGATATAGATGGCTATACTATTCCTTCGAAAACAAAATTAATAGTTAATGTATGGGCTATCGGAAGAGATCCAAAATATTGGGATGATGCAGAAAGCTTTAAACCTGAGAGATTTGAGCAAAGTTCGGTGGATTTTGCTGGTAATAATTTTGAATTTCTTCCATTTGGTAGTGGAAGGAGGATTTGTCCTGGAATATCATTTGGTTTAGCTAATATATATTTGCCTTTGGCTAACTTATTATATCACTTTGATTGGAAACTTCCTCCTGAAATTAAATCAAGTGATCTTGACATGACTGAGTCGGACGGAGCAAGTTGTACTAGAAAGAGTAACCTTCACTTGATCATGACTCCCTATCAACCTTCTCAAGAGTGACTCAATGGCATCAAACTTTATTTTAAGAAAGATTTAAAGTAATTTTTTTACACTAATGTAGTGATTGCCTTATAAAGCTCATTACGTGTAACGTATTGTGTGCTTTCACTATTTGTAACATATATATATGTATCTTTGTTATATCGTAAATGTATCGTGATAGTTATATACATAAAATGCCATGTTATCCCCCCCCCCCCCCCCCCCCCCCCTAACTAGTGGTTGTGTTTGCTATTAATATGTACTGATGCATATCAAGAAAATTGATGGACATGGTCAGATTATTAAAGAAAATTGATATCAATTTAATTGATGGACTATACATTGTAAGTTTGGCCTTCGTTGATTTCACTTAATCGATAGGTTGATTTTTTAGAAATGTTAAAAAATGTAATTACTTAAAATCAAATTTATGTATTTTCATTTATATTCTTCATTTGCACTTTTGCACTTTAAAAAACTTGTAGAAATCCTCAATTTTTGTAAAAATAAAAGATAAAAAAACGAGAGATTGCATAAGTTTATTTTTATGCGAAAAAAGGTGTACGTTAGTTGATTTTCTGATTTCTTTTATTTATTTTTTTCAAAAAAACATACAAACAAATATCGACAAAACAAGTAATTAAGTTTTCCACCGACTTTTCAGACCAACTATATCCGTCAATTTTGTCTTTGCATTATTGTCAAGTTTCTAGGAATATGTATTGAGTTTAGTTGACAAATTAGCCACCAACAAAATATATGTAGACACTTGGCATAATTTCATTTGAATACAAGTTATAATAGAATTAATTTTTTGAAATAAATTATCCTGAAATTAGTTATCCTGCGATTATTTTTTTATTGACTGTTAGGTTTGTTGTATTAAAACTACTAAGGAAAGCTTTCGCAAATAGCCACTATAATAAATTTAATTATGCTTCATAACTATACTAAAAAAAAGCTATCTATTGTTCAATGTGAGCCTCTCTGTGAAAAAATGTTAGGCAGGATCTCTTCATGGACAACAAAGTTTGTCTTGCTCTTTGAATACTTTCCCAAATGCTGATCTATAAGTAATAGAGCTCGCAAACTCAAAAATTATTTGTTGTAGCATTAACTGTCTCACCAGAAGATGATCGATAAAATTCAATCATACAAAGAACTTCATCTTGTCTAATAGAGATGATCGATAAAATTCAATCATACAAAGAACTTCATCTTGTCTAATAGAGTTGAATGACTTGACATTTTTGATACTAAGTTTCGGAGGTAGTCCTGCTTATTTTACAATTGACAATTTTTTAATGATAGATTGGATAGAGTTGATAAATGAGTGAATTATTGGCCAGCTTAAAAGTTATTTAAATTGAAATAAGCTAAAATATAGATCATAACTGAACTCGCTTAATTCTTACTAAATTTTAATTGTTTTTTATTTATTTTTATAAATTTTAATACATAATAAAATTATTTATTATATTCATTATGATTATATTAATATCATAATAAATAACAAAATAGAATAATAGCAGGTCGCCACTTATGGCACATATTCAACAAATAGTGGCTTCTTTCTTCGTTTAAATACTCCTTCAAATTTCAATGATGACATACTATTCAATGACGGATTTGAATGAATTTGACGGGCTAAGTTAACTAGTTAAGTCAATTAATGAATGAGTGAGTTATTGATTCGTCCAATGTGATTTGAATTGAAATAGATTAAAGTGCAGCTCATAAGTTTTAACTATTTTATTATTTTATATATATATATTTTCAGTACCTAATAAAAAAAAAATCTGACTATATATAACATATCAAAAATAAAATTAAAAATATTTTGATATAATTACACTTGAATTCACTTGGGCAACATATCAACCCAATATTTGATGGGCTTTCTTATTCATTTAAGGGAAACTTTCAAAAACAACAAACATTAAGCCTTAAATAGGACTCCTTAGCTACAATTTCACTGATTGTAATTCTCAACTACACTTTGGTAGGGGCGGTTCAACGTAATGGAAGGCCTAAAGCGAATTTTCATTTGAAGGCCTAAAATCTAAACCAACTTCATATGTATTTATTTAAAATTTATGTTTCTTACACTTTTCAAATGCAAATTATTACTTAGTATTTTATTCAATTATTATTTTAGATATGATTTTATCAATTCAACATTGATTTTTTTTATTTCACTAAGACAATCATTATATTTATTATAACATTATATAAGTAATAAGTTGACAAATTTTAAATAAAGATAAGAGTTAGAACATAATGGGGTAAAAAATAATAAAGTAATATAATTTTTTTTAATACTTTTTATTATAAATAATCATTTTTTATAATAAAAAAATTAACACATACTTTATTCTTGGTAAAATTTGAGGCCTCCTAAATTGGGGGCCTAAGGCATATGCCTTAATTATCAAAGCATAGAGCTGACGCTGCACTTTGGTTTGCTACACATTTGTATTTTTTATATTTTTTCGTGAGTTTTGTAGAAAATAAACACAAATACAAACTTATTTGTATCAAAATGAATACATATTAGGAGGCGAGAGGCGAACGAGATTAAGAGAGGCGAACGAGATTAAGAGAGGCGAGTGGGAATGAGAGAGGGAGGAGAGAGGCGAGGGAGATCGAGAGAGGGAGGAGAGAGGATTTTGCATTTTGTATTTATTTGCATTGTATATATTCTGGTATTTATTAATTTAATGCATAATTGTTTTGTATTTTGTATCAATTGTACTCAAAATATAACAAATACAATTGTATTCATCCTCTCTTTTATTAGATACAATTGATACATAATACATTTGATAGAGAGAATGAATGCATATTGTATTCACATGAATACAAATACAATTTATACAAAAATATAAATCTAGTTTTTTGAATATAATTGATATAAAATACAAAAGTCTCACATATATTTGATTTTATACCGTTGCTACATAATATATTTGAATGGATTTCTTCTTATTGGCAAAGAGATAGGGGGCGAGAGAGGGAGGAGAAGCAAGTGATAAAGTTTGCTATAAAAACAACGTATAGTGGTTTTTTATAATTTTTTTAAACTATAGTTGTTTACCATATAATATGTTAGCATTTTTGTCTTGTTCCATAATTTTCCCACTAAAAAAACCATTGTATATTCATTTTTGAAATATATGCATGAAATTGATTTTCAAGTTAAAGACCGACCCCCCCCCCCCCCCCCCCCCCGGCATGCCCCCACACATGCAGTATTACGATAACACGAAGAACAACTGTGATGGTGTCTTGAACAACTGCAATTTTGTATTTCAATTGTATCGATCTGTGTTTTTTAGGAAGAACGATGATGAACTGCTGTTATTTTGTATTCCAATTTGCTTTTTCGATTGATCCACAATTTTGATTTATTTATTTTTGCTATGATAGGGTGAGATGCACCTGAATCTACTTTCCATTCCTGCGTAAAAATGTTTGATATTAAACAAGTAGCTAGTAATATCATTGGTGTGACTAGTAGTACATCCTTTCCTTGATTTCTATTCATATTCATCACTATTGGATTTGGCTTCTCAACCACATTAGCTATATATATTGATTGTTGAATCGCATAGTCTTGATTTATGGATGGTGCAAGTCCCTTAAGTAGGATTTTTCTGTGTGCTTGATCATACGATTCATTTAAGCCACTTTGTGCAAGAATAATAATCTCTCTGTGCAGTTGATAGATCCTCACACGATTTACTTTGTCAAATCTCTCTTCAGATTTGCCCAGAATGTGAAAGCATTCGTGGAATACACAATTTCGTTGAGAAGTGATTCACTAATTGTGTTCATCAACCATGAAAATACAATCACATTGTATGTCTCTCATTGTTCGTGCAACTCTACTCTGTATAACCCTTTACAAAACCATATTTCCTCTTTTCCAATAGTGCAATTCTCATTGATCTACTCCCGATTCCATAGTTTTCTGATCCAATAAAGTACAGGTCCTAAAGTATCTGATGGCCCAACATATAAAGGATCATTCTGATTGATCTTAGCTAGAAGAGATCTAAACTCGACTACTCTAGACTTTCAGTATCAACTACTCAAAAATGTTAGTATCAACTTCTTCGATACCATGATAAAATGTGAGTTTAAGAGCTCAACATCCCATTGATGAATTGAGAAGAAGCATAGAGTGAGGAAGAAAGGAAGATATTATTAATCTGAATGAAAAGGGTCTTACACAAGTGAAGCATTGCTTCAGGCTTTATAGCTTAGCCAGAGCCCGCAGAGGAACTATGAAATATCCTAACTGACTAACTGATTATTGCCGGCTCATCTTGCCTTACAACAACTCATTAGCACACTAATCGATATAACTAGTAGCAACTAACTAACTCATCAGCTAAGTGAAAATTAATGGAACAGTAACAGTAACTTTCACTTCGTCATTGTTTGACTAATATTGTAGATTCAAACAATATGTATTTTGATAAATTTGTATAATTGAACAAATGAAAAATGATTAATTTTAAATAAAAAAATTATTTCTCATATCTCTCGAAGGCCATGCAGAGCACAAGCAACCCCATATATATGATATTGTATGCTCAAATAATGAAATAATTTAAGAAGGTAGAACAAATAAAATGAGGAAATATAGTAGTATTGTTTTTTTTATTGAAAATAAATGTTTTGGTTCTACCGTTTAAATTTCGAAGCCCATCCCACTAGATTTACTTTCTGAAAAAACCCTACCTATTCACAAATCTATCTTCTTGGATTTTCTATCAATTTTTATTGAAGAATAAAGAGGCATGTTAGGACTAATCAAAATTAAAGTTTCTTTTATTTTTCGAGACATTTTTTTACGGTTAACAAACAAGTAAATTTTGAATATTACTCCCTCTGTCCCTTTTTATTCTCTAAATTTTGATTTGGCATATCAATTAAAAAAATAATGGTTCATATAATGAATTTATCGTTTTATCCTTATTAATTGATAGTCTTAAACATATTTACTCACTACATTTT